TCGTGGAGTCCTCCAACTTGGGCGGAAACCACACAAGCTTTTTATATGGCTAGCAAGCCCATCACTAGCCGCCACGTGTGAATAATTTAGAACTGGCCAATAATGGGACTCGAATTAGCATACAAATGGCGGGAACTCTTTGCAACGAGCATTTCTGTGCTGCAACAAAGAAATGCACCCTGCAAAGAAAGCTTCAAATTGGTGGGAAATTTTCCCTTGCACCGGGGTTCTCTTTTGCAGCAAAAAACTCCACTGTGCAAAGAAGCTGTAATTTAGCGGGAACAATTTAGCAGTGCTGAAGCACACAAAAACAAAAATCACACCCTTTGGGTTGTGACAAAAGGCTCTAAAATGATTCTTATAAATGTATACACTGCTGCTGATAATATTTAAAAACAATTGGAAAAAAGGACAAGTCTTTTATTTAAAAATGTGATTTAGTGGTGATGCAAATGAATGAGGATATTCAGGGAAAATACTTTGTGCATTACATTTCTCATTCTACTGTTGGCACTGAAAATCTGAATTTTTCTGAGGGGAGCTATATTATCCCTGTCAATCAGTGGTGAATTGACACTACCTTATTACACTAATGGAAAAAGCCAAGCAGCACAACCCAGAGCATAACTTTCAAGCATCTTTTTCTCTCTGCTTTTCTTTTCTTTTTTCAATAATCCATTCCCCCATCCTTACCCTACAAAATGCTCAATTGACTCCAATCTGAGGAAGGCAGATGAGGTAGCTGGATGTAGACTGTTAGCACTGCTACTGATTTTGCCAGAAAGATTGCTAAAGAGAAATCTTGCCCCCTGCACCAGACACTAGGTATACACCTCTCTTTACCTAGGCGCCAACAACCAAGCTGGTGTGTCTAATTGATCTCCTTCTCCTCCGATACCCTCTCACCCTACCAGATGGTAACACATGAGTTGTTTTTAGTCTGTCAGCTCAGCTTTTCAGCCTTGTTAAAGAACAACTGAATGCACTAAACTGGACTTTTCCCTTCGCAGGAAGAAGAGATGCCAGATGTAGAAATTGACATTGATGACCTTCTTGATGCAGCTAATGAAGAGGAAAGAGCTCTTAAATTACAGGTAAAATATTTCCTAATTTAAAATTGGACACGTCTGGATTAACACACCTAGGTCTTGGTTCTGACTGACTCCTGCATATTTCCTGCCTTTTGAGAAATAGGAAGTTCAGCATAATCTGTAGGACTATTGCCTGAATGTAATCTGATTCCCCTATATTATGAGCAAACTCCTTGTAGGAAGGTAACAATAGGAAGAATGTTGAGTTTCCAGATATTGTACTACTGAGGGGAGAACTCTGCCAAAAAGTAATAGAATGCTTTAGCTTTTCCTCCCTGGTTTCATTGGTATTGGAGAAGGTGAAGAGGGAAAACTAATCTAACTCTGAGACTTCAGTGACCTGCCAGAGCTCCAGTTAGTCACATCTGAAGAATAGATACTGAATCCCCTTGAGTCTGTCAGATGCTATTATTCTCTAGCTCTAGGAATAAAGTACTTTTCAACTTGTTATTATGAGCAACCTTTAGCAACCCATTTTTTAAGGCAGAAAATATCCAAATTCATTAAGTACTGACCATCTGGTGTAAAGCTCTAACTAAAAATATGGGGGTAGGATCAAAGAAACCGACAACTACGTTTACTGTGCAATTGCCTACCGTATTTCACAGTGTATAAGTCAAGGTTTAAACCCAGAAAGTTTACCCTTAAATATCCACCTTGACTTATACGCTATATGAATACTCCAGCCAGACCCTACACCAGCACCCTGCTGTATGGGGAGGTGGCATCCTGGCATCTAGGGTCTTCCTCAGTGCTGACTGAGGGCCAGCCAGCCCCCGCCCCTCCCTCCCCAACACCCAGAGCCGGTCTGGGTGCCTAAACCCCATACCTGTTGAGTCTGGCCCGTCTCCCATGGTTGAAGGTCAAGCTGCTGGCAGGCTGGGCAGCCCCAGGGTTGGGTGCCTGGTTCTTCCTTCCGTGGTGGTGACAACCCCTGGTTCCAGCTGGGCAGGCTGCCAGCAGGCTGGGTGCTGCCCCAGCTCGGGAGGACCAAATCCAGTTTTCTCATGATCCTGCCTGGGCTTCCAGTGCCACGGACACTGTCCTTGCTGCCTTCTCTCACTGCCAGAGCACCTAGCCACCCTTCTGCCCCCCACCCCCGTGCTGCCCATGAGGCGAGGCAGCCCCTTCCCAGGCAGCACTAGCCATCTTGAGGGCTGCAGGAGCCTGCTAAAGACAGAAGCGACCAGGAGTCTGATCCTGCTTTCAGCAGAGCCTGCTCAGTCCTATCTCCCCTGCAGCCAGGGATCCCCATGAGCTACCGCCGGGCTGGGCAGCCCCTGAACTGCAGGGGGGGCCTGGTCCTTTCCTCCATGGCAGTGGTGCCCCCCAGGCCCAGCAAGACAGGATGCCAGTGAGCCAGGTGCTGCCTCAGCTTGGAGGTGTACGAGCCTGCTCAGGCTTCCAGCACCTCACGTACCATTCCCACTGCTTTCTTCCTCTGCCAGTGCCCCCAGCAACCCTCATGACACCCCCCACTCCGACAAGACAGGGTTGACATATACACCGGATCTACGAAAATCCTAACTTTCTTGAGTGGAAGTTTGGGGCTGACTTCTACACCATGTCAACTTGTACACCATAAAATATGGTAATTAACTGTACAGTAAACATCTCAGCATTTATACATGCACCCCTGTTAGGGTACACAAAACTAATAAACTCTGCAGCAAGGTAGGACTTGTTTTTTTGTGCGCAGTAGTGCACTTGTAGATGCCGAGCCAGCTGGCTGGGGCACAAGGGTGCTTCAGTGTGGAGGCTGCCTGCCAGCTAGTCTTACATTGAAGCACTCTTATGCCCCAGCCAACTCCTCCACAGCACATTGACCCTGATCAGAGCAGTCCTGGTTGAGAATCATTGTCCTAGGGTATGTTCACTCTGCTGCAGTCAAGAAGAGTAAGTACAGTTCATGTGGACTCACCCATGCTGGTTTTTTAAACTAACCAGCTCAAGTACTGAGAACACTGACTATCCCAGGAGTGTCATAGGTTGTACTGAGCGTTGGGGTGCTGTGATGGTGTGGTTACCACAACCTAAAATTATGAGTTCAAAAGAAGTTCTGGCATTTTGACAAATGTTACAGTCCTACCTTTGAATATGATGTTGATGTACCCCTGGTATCATAATGAAAGCTGCTCTGTGTGATTGAAATGAGATTCACTTCTCTCCACTAGCTCCTTCAAGGTGCATACGTCAGGATTGTGAATTTAGAAGTAGCTTCCCTTTTTTGCAGACACTGTGCTCCAGCAGTGCTCCAGTGCTTTGGATTGGAGTTGCTTCTATACAAAATACAAAAATTATACGTCTCCCTTCTGTAAGGTACATGAGACACAGTGGGCCTTGTTTGATAGATGAGAAAAATACGGGGCCATTCCATTCAGATGCAGACTTGTTTTTCTGTTAACTGTTTTTGTTGATACTGACACTTTTGTGTTTTACTTCTAGGAAACTCTTGTAGATTGCTACAAACCGACAGAGGTAAAGTCACTTTTCTTAAACACCATTTTTCTGCTTTTATAAAGGGGCCCTGTTCCATTATTGTGTCCATTAGGCCAATGGGCTTTACTTAAATGGATATTCTGGATAAAGTTTAATGTACACAATTTTTAATGTACTGTACAAGTATGTTCAAGTTTAGTAGGAAGCATGAGCATTGCAACTTAACAAATATTTTAACTTCATGCAAAAAAGCTGAGTGCAGTAGTTGAAATACTAGAATGCACAGTAAAGACTTAATTAGATATATTTTTTTCTGTAATGTGGTGGGTCATTACAAACTCAGCAATTGCACAAGGAGTATCTAAGACACTGCATTATGCAATGGATGTACAGTGTCTTGGATTCCACTGTTTGGTAACCACTTTGGGTGAGTTGTGCTTGACCAAGGAAACATGCTTCTTTTCTTTTCTTTTCTTTTCTTTTCTTTTCTTTTCTTTTCTTTTCTTTTCTTTTCTTTTCTTAAGGCTGTGTTTAGCATGGTTTTGCTTCTGGGGGAGCAGCACTGAAATGGCTGCAACCTGAACTGCTTTCTGTAACACAAAGCAGTGAGGCTTAAAGACAGACTGTCAGGCACAACATTGGAGTTGAAAGGATAGTGGTGTCAATCAGACCTCTGGTTTGGTACCTTTATATTTTTTTATTATATCATGTAGTACTGGAGAGGTAGTCAAGACCAATTGCTGCAGCCACTCAGATCTTTAGCAGTATTGGAATATAGCTCAGAAAGGCCTCAATGGTTTATTCTTTGCTGTGGGAGAAATGGTTTTGCATAGGGTAAATATGACATATTGTTGGGATTCCTAGGGAGATTCCAGGCTAAAAGGCCAGGTTTTTCTGGTGTGTGTGTGTCAATAGTAATGCTATATTATCAACGACCCATTCAACATTCTCCAGCAAAGGCCATTGAACTTCAATTGTTTTTTCATACCATTGGTCTAGATAATTGATGGGGTATCCAGAACTGAATAAAGTAGAGCTGGGGGGGGCGGGGAGGGGAAGAGGGAAAGAATGGTGGGAGAAGGCAGATCAGGATGCTAGTAGTTTAGATGGGCATTTGAGAATGGCTACTGATGTTTTCTTTAGATATTCTAATTGTAGTAACAGGGTGAAGCAATAAAAGGCAAGACTGGAAACAGGCCTTTTAAAGGTCTTGCTAAAATTAATTTGGCTTTAACATTTCTTTAAAATTCATGCTGACTTAAGAAGAATGAATACTATGAATATTCATTGCTAATGAATGTGAAGCAATTGTTAATGACTATGATTTCATATATAAGACAACACCAGTATGATGTTAACTTCAGAAAGGAAATATACACAAGGTACACTTCATTGAGAGGTGATCAATTTTAGAGTGATGGCTTAAATGGAATAGCCTAATAGATTTGTGTCTGTGCAGATGGTGAAACTGAATGCAAAGGTCTCCAGGCACCTTGCACAGGAAATTAGATTTTAAAATTCGAACTTTAACTTGGTCGTTGACTCTTGTGCCAGTAGAGCAGAAGCAGTACCCTTACACTAAAGAGTATGTGTCTCCCATTTCTCCTTTGGTGACTTTTCCAACTGGCCTTGAGATTAAACTGACAGGTCTCTGACTCCAGAGTCCTTTCTTCCTGGGCCAGTGCAGTAGTCTGTCCAGTTTGGATGAGAGAATGTTGGGCCTGAGGAAGAGGAAGGAAAAATACTACTTTACCTGTGATGGTCTGCACGATACAATCTCTATGTTTAGTTAGCAGTTGTTCACATTAAGTCATGAGAATGACTTGTATACATGGCATGTGACATTCCTTCTAAGGTAGCTGTAATTTAAACATGACAACTTCTTTTTTTGCCAAGATTTTAGTCTCAAAAGATCTACAATCTAAAAAATGCTTGTGAACTGGAGTTCTAGTGGGGCAGGTAGTAGTAATAAATCTGCAGTTTGACAGCACATTAAAGGGAAATCAATACAGGCAGGAAGTTCAGTAACTTAAAGCTATGCTATATAGAAAGAGGATGTTTGGAGATGGGGCATTTTAAGTCAGTTTTACATAGCTTCCTCAACTCAAAGAGGCTGAAGGTTAAAGAGACTGAAAAGTTGTCTTTGTGCATTGTGGCTATTCCCACCAGAAAAAAATCAGAATTATCCAGGTCACTTGGTAGGTGGCAGGTATTAAGAATATCTGTTCTCAGCCTCTGTAATAAATTGTCTAAAAATAGCAATAGACATTAATTTGAGGACGGTCATTAAGCTAGTCTTCCTTCAGAGTAAGATATCTAGACTCTTAAACATGCCCCAGTGATCCTGAAAATCTAGGTTTTATAATACCACAATTGCTGCTGCTGTTCTTTCATTTAACTCAATAAGATTAAAGTAAGACTGACATTGCAATAAAATGTCAGTTCCTTATGAATGCCATTATTTAAGTAAAGATATATCAGTTATTGAGTATCTAAAATTATTTGATTTGGAAATCTTATACAACTGTGGGTTAAAGTGTGGCTTTCACATACAATTAGAAGACCCAACAGTCTTCTTTATAGTCAGTGTAACTTAATGAATAGAAATGTAATTTAACTGATCTATCCCCTAATTAACAAAATAAAACTGAAAAACGACATCTTTATCCTTAGTAGCATCTTGCCAGCAGCCCAAAATAGTTTCTGGGTACATGATGCAAATTGTCTGTGTTTCAGAAAAAGCACGTTTAGAAGTGAGCATAAGTAGTAATGATATAAATACAGAGTTCTTTTTCCTCATCGTGGTTAGCTTATGCTTGCTGAAGATAATTTCGAATGGCCCTCAGAGAGGCTTGAGAAGAGAATACAAGCTTAAAGGAAAGGGAAAAAACCTCAAGTTTGACATGCATTCTTAATTTCTTAAACTTAGCCCTGATATTTTAATTGTAATAGCAAACCACAGAAAATTTAAGCACTGCCACGTTTTTAGGTAGCTAGAGAAACTATTAGGGCTTGTGTTTACATTATCCTGAAAAATAACTGACACAGAGAAGCAAAGGATGCATTTCTTTCAGTATGCAAGAATCCACATAACAGGTTTCATGTTCCAGTTAACTTTTAGCACAAACATACTTTGCAGAAACTCCAAAGTTGCTGTGTTCGCAAGTGTTTACAGAATTATTTGTTTTTCCCAGAATAGCTTGTAGATGAACTATGGCCTTCAGCACTAGCTGGGAATGAACAGCCAAAACCTAATATTTCTTCCTCATAAAATGGGGGTGCTGACTTATGTCACAGTATCATAATAGCCCTGTTGTGGTGATAAAGTCTAAGCAGAGCCCCCTAACAAGAAGGATAGTAATGCTTCACTGTTCTGTTGAAAACTGAAGAGTAATTCCTAAGTAACTGATGAGGACCAAAAAAAAAAGGTGAGGCTTTAGGATGGGCCAGTAGCATAACTATAGATGAGCAAACAGGGCACAGGCCCCAGGATTGGGGGCCTCACTTCACTTCACCCTGCACCAGACCCAGCAGCCAAGTGTGAGATGAGTGGAGGGGGCAGAACAGCAGCCAGAGGTTCATTGCTAGGGGGAAGCTGCGACTGTGGTGGGAGGTGTCAGAGACTGTTAACCTTCTTGTGTCCCTTCATGCTGCTATTTTTCAGCTTTTAAATTGCTACAGAATTATGGATTCCAGGTTAACCCTTGCAGCAGTGGCTTGCCCAGTAGCAAACTCTATCATTTATGCCTGTGGGATAGGCTCTGTATTAGTACTTCCACTGCTGCTAGCACTAGAGCTACTGCAGCGATTGTCAGTAATGGTAGATATGTTGTAAACTGCTGTGGTAGACAAGGCCAGCGTAGCTAAAAATACAGGTAACATGTTTGCTGGCTCTGAAGGTTGTGCTTATGCTATATATATCTGATGTAGTTACTCTACAAGGCACAAATCTGCCCTACCTTCTAAAGGATGTAGTTAATAAACATAAAGAAGAGCTAAAAAAAGATTTGCAAAAGTTTTGAATTTTGACAACGACAAGAATTGTGTGCGTGTATGTATGTGTTGGGGGGGTATCCTCTTCTCTTTCTTTTCCTTTTTGTCAGTATCATAAGAGCCCTGTTGTGGTGATAAATAAACATTACTTCTCCCAGGCTGGTGTTCAGGGCAGGACACACACTTCTCTGGCTGAGAGAAAAGTTATGCAGATTTCCCCACAACATGGGACACTGGACACAATTTACCTCTCTACCAGCAGGAGCCAGAGTTCACACAGTTGTGATTACTCAGTGTTTTCAGTAGGACAGTCCATTTCAGTCTGCCAGACTCTGCCCCTGTTCACACTGCACCCTGTTTGGTAGGATAGTGGTTTTTTAAGAGGGTCTCATTGACCTTCCCAAGGTGGATGCATTTTGAAAATTTCTCTTCTACAATACAATGTGGGGGAGAGCATTACAAATGATTTTAGAGTAACACAAGCAAGGAACCAGAAACATGTTTTCCATTGCTGCTTATTGTAGCAGTGGTATGTTTCATAGATTTCATAGACATTAGGGCTGGAAGGGACCTCGGAAGATCATCGAGTCCAGCCCCCGGGCTAGGGGCAGGAAGTCAGCCGGGGTCAAAGGATCCCAGCAAGATAAATGTCCAAATGTCTCTTAAAGGAGTCCAGGGTAGGTGCTTGCACCACCTCTGGCGGCAGTCTGTTCCAGGCCTTGGGAGCTCGGACAGTAAAGACATCCTTCCTTATGTCCAGCCTGAAACAGTCTTGGAGGAGTTTGTAACTGTTTGACCTCGTCATCCCTTGGGGTGCTGTGGTGAACAGGCGTTACCCCGGATCCTGATGCACACCCCTTATATACTTATAGGCAGCCACCGGGTCCCCCCTGAGCCTGTGCTTTTCCAGACAGCAAAACTACTCCTAAGTTAACATCAGGGGGGGGAAAAAGTGTTGGGGGAGGTGGGGGGTTTGGGAATAGGTGGGCACCTCACTGTGGCTAAAATGTAGTTTATAGCCATTGACTTTTGTAAGGTACAACACTCTCTTGGGGGAGTCCAGTTTGCAAGAGGATGGTACTGTTGACCATTTCCCTAGTATGGTCTTGCCCACAGCCTGAGCCTGTGTGGAACGGAGAGTGCCATGGCTCTTCCTGCTTCCCTTTGAGGCACTTGTCACCCGCCCAGGGGCACATGGTAGGAACAATCCTGCCTTCTCTCAAATGTGGAGATGGTAACTGAAACTTTGGAATATTTTCCACATAGGGGAAGGGGAGACCTGGCAATCTGAGCAGTACTCTGACGCAAGTCTGACAGTACTGCTCCTTTTTTTGGTCTGTCTAGAGTAGAAGTGTCGAAGATACAGCCCATAGACTGGATTCAGTCCATGAAGCCACATTATCCTGCCATTGCTGCTGGGCCTGCAGGGAGCCAGTCTGGGACCACTCAACTCCACCCCTTGCAAACCAGATCCAGCACCTGCAGTGCCAGCTCGGGCCTGTTTGGGACTGCACTTCACATGGCACCCACTCTGACCGGTCCAGGATGCAAACTACATGCAGCACCTGTTGCAGTTGGTTTGGGGCAGGTACCACATGCAGTGCACTCCAAGACTGGACAGAGCGGGTGCTGGAGTGGGCCTGTGGGGGCATCCATGGGTCCCCGCTATGCCATATCTGGGCTCTGGATCTGTGGGGCTGGGAGTTGCCAGGTCTCCTTCTGGCCCTTAGGGTTGACTGCATGCTGTTTTTCTGGCCCATTAACCAGTCCCAAGCCACTCATCTGGCCAGCGGGGCCAGATGAATTTGCCACCTCTGGTCCAGAGAAGAGATTGAAAATATAGAATTCCAGGTATTCCTGAGATTAAAAAAAACTTCTTGTACCATGTATCCTGTTCCTAAGGAGAAGTATCTGATGGAGCAGCATCCAACTGGTATCCAGAATTCATTGGAGGAATTTAAACACGAAGTTTGGCCCAATGATCTCAGCTAAACAGCGTCTTGCAATCCCAAATGAGAGGTGAAATGGTCCTCCCCCTTCCTTTCTGAATTATTACTTCATCTTCATTTGCTTTTTAATTCTGCATTATTTGAGCTGCATGCCTTTGATTGTAGGAAGAGCATTACAGAGGGGAGAGGGGAATGCCTAAGGCTGAATATAAATTAATTCAAATGAACTATAGATTTAGTCTGTCTGTCTCTCTCTCACGCATGCAAATTTGCTCTTTAGAATTAGAAAGGCCTGACTGCAAGAAACAATGGTCTTGTGCTATAAATTAACAGGAGTCTTCAAGCTTGTAACACACAATATTTAAAGGTGTTTAAAGGGCTCTCTGCAAAAAAGAATTCAGCTGGGTTTGTGTGAAGTTGCTGTTTGGATGAATAAGAGACTTAATGAGTGTATTTTGTTTTTCCCTATGAAGAGAGACGGGTACACCAAGTTGGGTGTTCTATTTTTTTGAAGCAGTTCTTAATTTTCTTGGTCCTTTGAATTTTTAACAACTGTTTTTTCTTAAGTGTTTCTTAGGTGTTTATATCAAGCAGGTGTTAATGAAAACACAGCTGAGAAGGAAAGGGACTCTGGTTTTGGTTCTTCAACACAATCTACTTTTATTTGTCCCTAGTTGGCTACTAGATTTCTCATTCTTTACTAGTACTACTAATCCTGTGTCAGTGATAGGGGGGAAAAGTGCAGGTGAGGGAGACTGGAGAGAACTGGAGAGAACAAATAACACTCCCATCTGTTAAGCCTACCTTTATACGTTCATAAAGAATTATAAACACAAGCACATCTTTAAATGGCAATATGCCATTAAATTTTGAGCTAGGCACTCCTAAAATGAAGCCTGCCTCTTTTGTCCACTAACCAAACATTAGATCAAAGAAATCTGCAGCTTTGAAAGATACTTCCCTGTACTGAAAAAAGATTAAATCTGAAGCTGAACAGTCGAGTCATTGAAGGAGAAAGCATGAGAATGAAGGTACAGTGGCATTAGTAACTGCAGGTTTTATCAGGTGCAGAATGAGACCTGATGCAAAGAAACTTGGGTAAGGAGTGGAAGGGTCAGCAGCCCCTCTCCTGTTCTGCCTATGCTAAGTGCTGTTTCTAAATCCTCTCAGGCAGATACCTACCCAGCCTCTTGTAAACCTTCAGTGAGGGGGAGTTTCACAATTTCTTCTTGCTTTTCCCATTGTCATGCTGTTACAATTAGGAAAGGAGTCCCCTGTGGTTTAGTGGTAGAATCCTTGTCTACCACACAGGAGACCTGGGTTTGATTTCCAGACACTTATATAACTATGGCTGTGGAGGCACCAAACATCTGGACTCAGTCTAGTCTTTGGATTCTGTCTCAGTGGCCTAAAGGGAGGATGGAAAGTCTGGGCAGCCTCCACTCCTCCAAAAATTCCTGCTTGGGCATATGCATCGAAGGTCTGGGTGGCCCTCATGCATACACCGTGATCCAGGAGGATTGGCGGTTGCCACAATTAGGAAGCTGGGTTTTTTTTTCCCTGCCTTCCCACCCCACTTCCCTTGAGACTTAATCTAAATCTGCCTTTGCTCTTGTTTAAACCAACCATTTTTTCTTGTCCTTCATGAAGTTTCAAGATAATTCCAAGTGAAAATTCTAGCATAAAAGGCAAATAAATGGCTGGTTTTGCACACTACAAATGGGGTGTGATATTACTAAAAGAACAATGGGAGAAGCCCTGGGCACTGCACACAGGCTGTTTACCCTACTCTAGTGCCACACTAAAACCAGAACTAGAAATGGTATGGCTTACAGCTG